GTAATTACTTTCGTAAGCACTGAATCACTTCCGCAAGAACTGAATCATTTCGAAAAGAATTTATTCATTTAGGAATGCACTGAGTCAATACTTCAGGAATGTTCGGAATTACATATGAAGTACAGAAAAACTCTTTGGAAGTACCGAATCACATCAGAAAAATTCTGAATTACTCCATTAATTACTGCATCACTTCATAACAGTTTCAAAAATTACTGCGGATAGTACTGACTCATTCCAGAAAGTTTGTTATCACTTCCGCAAGTACTGAATCATTCTAGAAAAGTTTAAATTAACTTCAAAAAGTACTGAATAATTTCAGAAAAGCTCGGAATCACTTCGGAAAGTATTGAATCATTCCAGAAAGTTAATCACTTCCGAAAGAACTAAATCACTTCAAAAAGTACTGAATCACTTCATAACAGTTTTAAAAATCACTCCGGATGGTACTGACTCATTCCAGAATGTTTGTAATCCTTTCCGCAAATACTGAATCATTAAAGTAGAGTTTGAATTAACTTCAAAAAGTACTGAATAATTTCAAAAAAACTCGGAATCGCTTCGGATAGTATTGAATCACTTTGGAAAGTACTGATTTATTCCAGAAAAGTTTGTAATCACTTCCACAAGCACTAAACCACTTCTAAAAGAATCATTTAAGAAAAGTTTGGAATCACTTATCAAAATACTGAAAAATTTCAGAAAAGTTCTGAATCTCTCCAGAAAAATTCGCAATCACCTAGGAAAGTACTGAATCATCGCAGAAAGTCAGCAATCACTTTTACAAGTACCGAATCGCTTAGGAAAGTATTGAATCACTTAAGCAACGTGTAAAACACTTCAGAAAGTTCTGAATTACGTCATAAAAGTTTGGAATCACTTCATAAAAGCTCGGAATCACTTCGGATAGTATTGAATCACTTCAGAAAATTTCGGATTCACTTTGGAAAGTACTCAATCATTCCAGAAAGTTTGTAATCACTTCCGAAGGAACTGAATCACTTCCGCAAAACTGAATAACTTCGAAAAGAATTTGATCACTTAGGAATGCGCTGAATCACTTCCAAAATTTTAGCAATCACTTCGTAAAAATACTGGAATACTTTAGGAATGTTCATGTGTACTGAATTGCTGCAGAAAAAGTCGGAATAACTTTGGAAAGCACTGAATCACTTCAGAAAAAAATCTAAATTACTTCAGAAAGTACTGAATCACTTCATAACAGTTTGAAAAAATCACTCCGAATGGTACTGACTCATTCCAGAATGTTTGTAATCACTTCCGGAAGTACTGAATCATTCTAGAAAAATTTGAATTCACTTCAAAAAGTACCGAAAAATTTCAGAAAAGCACGGAATCACTTCGGATAGTATTGAATGACTTAAGAAAATTTCGGATTCACTTTGGAAAGTTCTGAATCATTCCGGAAAGTTTGAAGTAATGAAATTGGGTTGTTAGCGGAATGCTAAATAAAACAGCAAAAGGGTTTATCTTCCATTTAATTCCACTTAATTAATTTTTGTATCCATGACAGATACGTATTTCGACTACAATGTGTAGTCTTCATCAGTGTCATTCCCACTAAAGAACTTATCAAAATCTAACCCCCTTAAGTACTCATCCCCTAGGTAAAAAGTCAAGATCATAGGCATAAGTGGAATTAAATGGAAGATAAACCCTTTTGCTGTTTTATTTAGCATTCCGCTAACAACCCAATTTCATTACTTCATTATGATGGCTACCAAGCCTTTGGGGATTTTCCTTATTAGAGATTTGTATAGATTTTTCTCCTTTAGCTTACTTAAATCTTTGGTTTTTATTAGTTAGGTAGGTTCCGATTCAACACATTGTAGTTTCATTTTTATACCTATGATCTTGACTTTTTACCTAGGGGATGAGTACTTAAGGGGGTTAGATTTTGATAAGTTCTTTAGTGGGAATGACACTGATGAAGACTACACATTGTAGTCGAAATACGTATCTGTCATGGATACAAAAATTAATTAAGTGGAATTAAACCGGAAAGTTTGTTATATATTCCGAAAAGAAATTAATCACTTAGCAATGCTCTGAATCACCATAGAAATGTTCGCAATCTATCTGTAAAAAAACTGGAATATTTTCGGAATGTTTGGAATCACTAAGTAAGTACTGTATTGCTTCAAAAAAAAAATCTAAATTACTTCAGAAAGTACTGAATCACTTCAAATTAGTTCGAAAATACACTCCTGATGGTACTGAATCATTCCAGAATGTTTGTAATCACATCCGCAAGTACTGAATCATTCTGGAAAAACTTGAATTAAGTTCAAAAAGTACTGAATAATTTGAGAAAACCTCGGAATCTCTTTGGATAAGGCTTGTACTCGAAAAAAATGCACAATTTTTATCCGTGTGTAACTTTTTTTATCCGTGGGTAAAAATTTATGAAAATCTGGGTATAACTAGTTTCGAGTGAATTGTTTACATGTGCAAAATTTCATAACAATCGGTTCAGTGGTTACTGAGATGTCATCGAAACAAGAAGAAAATCGCCGGAGAATTTTGCGCGCCGTCATTGAAAATCCGACTGCGACCATGAGATGGATCAGAAGACAACTGGGAATCACCCATACAACTGTGTCTCGGGTGGTAAAATCGTTTAAGGAGTCCCAGACGACCGAGCGGCGGGCTGGAAGTGCAAGAAAATCGAAGACAGCTGACCCTGTGAAGACCCGGAAGGTGTTGGGTTATTTCAAGCGTAATCCGAACCATTCGATTCGTGACGCGGCTCTGAAGGCAAAGTGTTCCGCCTGGTTCGTTCAGCAAACCATGAAACGAGCTGGGCTTCGTGTATTCAAGGTCCGGAAAGCACCGAACCGGCGTGATCAACAAAACACGGCGGCCAAATCCCGCGCAAGGAAGCTGTATCAAGAGTGGTTAACGAAACCGATGTGTGTGGTTATGGATGACGAAGCCTACATCAAGGCAGACGCAAAGCAGATACCGGGACTGGAGTTCAACGTTGCCAAATCACGGTTTGATGTTCCGGAAGACATAAGGAAGAAGACAGTGGACAAATTCGCCAAAAAATACTTGCTCTGGCAGACCATATGCCAATGCGATAAACTGAGTAAACCGTACATCACAATGGGTACCATCAACAGCGAAATTTACCGCACCGAGTGCCTCCAGAAGCGTCTGTTGCCCTTCCTCCGGTCCCACGGAGGCGAGACATTATTTTGGCCGGACCTGGCATCATGCCATTACGCGCGATCGAGGTTGGATTGGCACAGAGACAATAACGTTGTTTTTGTACCGTAAACCGCCAACCCTCCAAATTCACCAGAGATTCGTCCGGTGGAAAGATTTTGGGCCATAATGAAGGGCAAAGTTCGAAAATCGTCCAAGGTGTTTAAGAACGAGCTGGAGTTGAAGAAAGAATGGATGAAAGTGACCAAAAAGGTCGGCTCCACCATTGCACAAAATGTAATGAGGGGTCTTAAGAAAAAATTTGCGGGCTTTCAGCTATGGAAAGGAAATTTAATAAAGTGGTACTGGTTCATTCCAGAATGTTTGTAATCACATCCGCAAGTACTGAATCATACTAGAAAAATTTGAATTCAGTTCAAAAAGTACTGAATAATTTGAGAAAACCTCGGAATCTCTTTGGATAATATTGAATAACTTCAGAAAATTGCGGATTCACTTTGGAAAGTACTGAATTTTTCCATAAAGTTTGCCATCACTTCCATAAGAACTGAATAATTTAGGAAATAATTTTGGAAAAGTTTGGATTCATTTCGGAAAGTACTGTAAGTATCTCAAACTTATATGAATTGATACAGTACTTTCCGAAGCGGTTCCCAAACTTTCTTAAGTGATTCATCACTTCACCAAAGGCTTGAAATAACTTTGGTTTGTAGTGAATCACTTCAGTAAGTTTGGGAACCGTTTCGGGAAGTACTGTACCAATTCATATAAGTTTGGAATCACTTTGTAATAACTGATGAAAAGTTTGGAATGGCTTCAGAAAATATTTAATTACTACAGAAATAATCGGAATCCATTCGGGAAGCACAGAACCATTAAAAAAAGTTCGTGAGTACAGTAAGGGCCTCATAGCCTAGTCAGTATTGGCACGGTATTACCAAGCCGGAGGCGGCGGGTTCGATTCCCGGTCCGGTCGAGTCTTTCGGGCTGGAAATTTTTTCGACTTCGACTTGCCACACAATATACAAATTCATGCATTGGTATTGGCATATAAAGCTCTCAATTAATAACTGCGGAAGTGCATTTAGAACACTAAGTTGAGAGCACGCAATCAGCTAAATATGCACTAAGCAATAAGCTTGAAATGTGAATAATAAGAAGAAGAAGTACAGAAATACTTCACAAAATCTTTAAATCAGCTCTAAAAGTAAGTCAGTACTTTCCGAAGTGATTTAGAACTGTTCTGAAGTGAATCATTATTTCTGAAAGTAATTCCAAACATTTCTGGGATAATTCAGTTCTTTTAGTAGGTCATTAGATGTTTTATGAAGTGATTCAGAATTTTTCTGAAGTGATTCAGTATTTTCTTAAGTGACTACGAATATTTCTTGAGTGATCTAGTACTTTCCGAAGTGATTTCCGAACTTTTCTGAAGTGGAACAGTACTTTTTCAAGTTCCAAAGACGCAAATTCTTCCCCAACCGTATTCAGCACGTTTTTAGGCTATTTCAACATTTTTGTGTGTGTTCTCAAACTTTTTGTGGGGCGATCGGCTATCAAATGAGTGTTACAATTATTTTCTATGTGAGTCCATACTTCAGTGTACTAGTGTATGTGCAAAGTTTTATGCAAATCAAAGAGAGTCATTTCCAACCGATTTGCTATTTGGCGTGGAAATGCTCACAATTCGATAATTAAATCCCAAAAGGTTTTGAATATTTATTTTTTTGCATAAATCAATCGGTCCATCCCAGTCCGGTTGACCATCCACCCTCTTGATTAAATTAATTTCATTCTTCACTTCCTAGGCACTCCCGGTTCGAATTCGTCAACGTCCAGCGAGACGTCCAATTCTTCTCAACAGAACAACGGCTGGAGCTTTGAAGAGCAGTTCAAACAAGTCAGACAGGCAAGTGTCGCTTCATTATTATTTTTCTGTGTCCCATCAATATGTGTGATGTGATTTGTATTATTCATTTTTTTTTCGGGACTCGCTGATTGCTTCCGATATTGATGGCTTCACTTGATCACAGTTCCACCTAAAAGAAAAAAAGGCAATCAATTTTTTGCTCAGTGACATACATTCAGTTATTCAGTACCTACGGAGAGGTTAGTCGTCTAAAACATCACTCAGGGAAAAAGTAAACATAACGAGTCGAGGACGTCAAGATAAATTACCTTAATAACTCGCTGATTAATTGCAATTTGCGTAAGAAAGTGACTGTAGCTCAAAGTGGAGGAAACGGCAGGGTCTCTCTACCACTCATTGATAATTTATTCTCGTCAGGCTTTCGCAATCATTTCCTCGTTCCCGAGTCTCTTCTGATCGATGGGATTCGTATGAAGAAACCAAGCACTCGATTCAATTCGATAAGTGCCGGATCCCTCGCTGATAATGAATATTCATAATCGACGACTAGTAACTCATCTCTTTCCCATCGGGTCGTCGTCATTCGCATTTCCCCGTATCGAAACATGGCTTTGAATCATGCTGATGGGGTGCTGATGACAAGAGATCTCTCGAAGAAATCGTGAGTTAAGACCAAAGATGCACTCCTCTTCCTGTACATCACGATCACACAGATTTCACGATGCGCGCATATCGTCCGTTGGAGGAAGGAGGTGGTGGAGCGAAAACTAATGACGCTTGATTGGGGCAGCTGTTGGCAGTCGTCGTGAAGAAGATTCTGGTGCTAGTTGGAAGCAGGGAAACGAGGAGGAGGGGGGGGGGGTTGAATTAAAATAAATAGAAAAGTAAATTGAAGTTTATTTGTACAACCTGTGCCGTGGAGGAAATCAACGTGTTCCCGATATCGGTTGTGATCAATTTTCCCGTCGAATGCTGATGGGAAGATCCCCAGGAGGTTGTCTAACGAGATTATCGCTACGAGACTTGTGGAAAGTTAGAATCGATTGGTATGACATGACATGAGATCATCAGGGAGTATTTCGGTGGAGGTCAGGCCGTTTGGTCGGATGCCATTTGGTCTTAAAATATAGAGGGTTTTTACGAGTTTGAGTTCTCGGAGATCTCATACTTGTCAATGTTACAATTATCAGATATTTCTGGTCCCATAATCTTAAACAGTTGTCTTAGACCAGGATCCTCAAATTTGTTATTATTAGAAGCCTCAAATTTTTTGAAAAAATCTTGAACTTGAATTTCTGTGTACGGGTCTTGTACAATTTTAAGTGTCTGAATCTAAATTATTTCTTTGGATGGTTTAAAAATATCTTCAAATATTATTTGTTTATATTATAGTCACATAGTATTATAGAATTCTGTGCAGAACACTTTAGGAATTCCCTCCATAATACTTCGGGTGTTGATAAAGGCGCTGTTATAAAGCATGATCATGCTGGAGGCGGCTTGTTTCGATTCCCGGTTCGGCCAAGGCATTTTTCGGGTTGAAAAATTTCTCGTCTTCCTTGGACATAGATTGTACAATGTACAGCCAAAGGAGAAGCCGCTATCTTCGTATTCTTTAGAATCTTCGCGAGAATTTGCTCTAATTTCTCTCCATAGTTTTTCTTAAAATTTCCCTTAATTTACTCCGTTTGAAACAAATTATTATCTAAGAATAAAATGATCTATCCGACTACATGAGATATTGACATTTGAAGACTGCATGTCAGGGATTTTTTTTTAACTCTTTATTTGTTCCAAATTCAAAATTACATTTCATTATAACCTAGTTACTACAGTAACTTACCAGCCTTAATTGTTATGATACATATCTAAGTGTTTTTACATTGTTCCTGCCTTGGCAATTCATTATTTTCAACAGGTTTTTTAAACCTGCATGTCAGTATAACAATTGAAATCCTAAAACTAAATCTTACATTAGTTTAAAGGGAATTAATCGTTGCAATTGAGGATTGCAACGATTTTTGCCTGAAATTATCAATTATTTTGTTGGACATTTGTTCTAAAGTCTCAACATTCGAAATTCTATAGACTGTTCCAGAAAGTATAAGCACACTTTCAAAATAACAAAAAAGTCATATTTTTTTAAGTTTTAATAATTTTATTTGGCAAATCATATTTGTATTTGTATTTCAAATGATATTTTACTCTCGTTTAATCAACATATTTAATCATAGCCAAGACTCCTAACTTTTCCTCGAACATGACCCATTAGCTTCTGCACAGTGGTACTTCCCACCATTTTGACCACTTTTGGCCAATCTTTTTTGAATTTTTGGATGTCGGCCGCTTGTTTTATTGATTTTCGAAGCTTTGCTTTGGTTAAAGCCCAAAAAGTCTCGATTGGCCGTGCCTCCGGGCAGTTTGGCGGATTCATGTCTTTCGGCACGAAACATACATTTTGACTTTTGTACCATTCTAAAGTGTCCTTTGCGTAATGACATGACGCCAAATCAGGCTAAAATACTACTTGACCTTAGTGCTGCCTGATCATCGGCAACAATCGCTTCTGGAGACATTCCTTAACGTATTTCTGAGTGTTCATCGTCTCCGTTGTGATGTACGGACTAGATGTTTTACCACACTCGCATATTGCCTGCCAAACCATAACCTTCTTACCGAATTTTTCGGTAAAAATTGCCTTCTCCGTTTCGGGGATGTCCTTGCCTTCGCTTACAGTATAGAATTGTGGTCCGGGAAGCGTTTTGTAATCTAGTTTCACGTACGTTTCGTCGTCCATTATTTTACACCCAGAATTTCGACACAATAACGAATCGTAGAGTTTGCGGGCCCGTGGTTTCACAGGAAACACAAACACAAAACTGAGCACTTTTTTGATGCTATGTCATTCAGAAATGAGCAAACAAAAGGACGCAGCCAAAAAATGTTGAAATATTTCATTATATTCAAAGCAGGCTTCCAGTGCGCGCGCTACCGTATGCGAGACGCAATACGAATAGTCTCATAGTCATAGCAGTCTCATGCGCAAGAGATTTGTAGCACTCTGTTTCTCTCTCTTCAGTTTTGTCGCATCTCACATTCTCATAATGTCAGTGTGTCGCACTGTTTTGTAAGCACAGCACATTTCCGGATGTATGCGTTTCATGAAAACGAGTATCATGCGACGTCGCGTGAGCCGAAGTTCATGCGCTTTTCGCAATGAGACGTCGCTAAGCGACGTTTCAATGCAACATCGAAATAACAAACTCAACTGGAAGACCAACTCGTGTTCTTGATGTGGGAAAAGTGTTGTTTTGTTTTGAAAACGATCGAAAGCGACCTAGCTACTACACTCTTATCGAACATGGAGAAGAGGTGTCGGATGGTTATGACCAACAATGTTTTCCTAGCGGCAATTTTCGTTGATTAAAGGATTAACTTGAAAAATAGCCCATTCATAACGAACGAAGGAAGAGATGTGGCTTTGGTAAGCGAAATGTACAATCAAGTTGTGGTTTATTTGCTCGTTAATACATATCCTTTTTTAATTTCACCGAGGGTCCACGGTACTAACACTAGGACTATTTAGAAATCTGTCGTCGCAAATTGATTGTTTCAGTTCAGCATCATGGTGGCTGATATGAACTATCCTGTGAGCACTAACACATCTGAAGAATTCAGTTGCTGCCGTAGTAAGTTTGTTGATTGACAGGTATTCAATACAATTCCTGAAGCAAGAAGCTTAGCAACAATCCGTAATACAGATATGACACAACTTTTTCCTAAATTTATTACATTAACCTTAATCCAGCATTTCGTACCTACGTACACTGAGGTGCTAAGTTGATCGGACAAAGGTCGTTTTCATACAAACTAGCCAAGTTTAACATGTTGTAAATGGGTTCCGTTATGATCAATTGAGCTGAAATTTTGACGCAAAACTACAAATATTTTGAGCTTCACGTGTGAGAAATACCAAATTTTTTGAAGCACCTGCTGGAAGGTGACAATAAAATTAAAATTTGTGCATAGCTGATCGAACAAAGGTCAATGGAAAAGCAAGTTTTGAGTCAAAATTTCAACTCAATTGATCATAACAGAACAAATTTACAACATGTTAAACTTGGTTAATTTTTAAGTTTAGACTTGTGTGTATGTAATAAGAAGTCACCACCAACGTTTTTGCAGCAAAGTACACTTCTGCGTTGAAAATAATCCCTTAAAATAGTGTTCACTCAAGCAAGACAAAATACAAATATTAATCTTCAGAGTTCTAGCGTGTTGATATGATCGGTCAAGTCAAACCGAACTGTGAATTTTTTTTTTGATTTCGAGAAAAACGAATTTAAAGTTGGCTGTTCAATATTGTGTCTTATGGAATGGGACAAATCATTTGACCGTTTTCTCTTGCTACTCTAATTTTTCAAATCTGGCTGAAAAAGTGAAATATAGCTGAGGGAATTCTTGATCTTATGATATCATTAACTCATGTTTTGTTTTTATTTTACTACTTAGTCGCTTCTGACTTAACGCCGACTATATTATCTTGTATAGTAAAATGTAGTGCTATTTTACATTAAAAATCGTCCGTTTATATTTTTACTGGTCTGAGTAAAAGTATTCTGAGGTATTCTGAGTCTAATTTGGTACAAATCCGCAATAACTTGTTTATTTTTCCACCAAATGGGCTGAAAGCTTCAGAGGCTTCAAAAAAAATGTATTTTAGAAGATTTCCGCATAAGGACTTGTTGAAGGACACATCCCAAGTAACATTGCAGGTTTTATCGCGGTTTTATAGCATTCTACAAGTCTAAATCATGGTCTACAGAACCCTCATAAAACCAAAATTGTTACTTTGGATAATTCCACAGATATTCCGGTATTATTTGGGGTGCTAACATGTTAACGGTATCCCAACCAGGGAAGGGAAATCATTTTCATTCATTTCGTGCATTCATTTACATTAATTTGCCTCTAACTTTTTTCATTAATAGAACTCCGTAGAATAGTGTTTGAAGCTTTTGAAGGTTTTGATATTAGCT